GCGGCGCCGGCGGCCCAGGGGGTCGCGGCCGAGGCGGACCCGGAGCTGACGGAGGTGCCGGAGGGCCCGGTGGCCGAGGCGGTGGAAAGGCCATGGCTGAGGCGCACCGCACTTTGGCGGTGGTGAACTATGGTGTGATGGACAAAGCCAAATATTGGGCTGTGACCTGCTTGGGGGGTACGAAGAAAGGAAGACTGTGGATCACTTTTGTTGTGGCGGTTCAAAAGGCAACGGGGCCCCAATCGTGAAATATCACCACATCTCTCCTTGTCTTCGACTGATTTGGAAGAACATGCAAAATCATTCGACAGGCTTTAAGCAATTTCATTCGAGGAATCTATTTATGCAACGATAACTTGAGCAATATTTGGAACAGGCTAGGCAACTACGGGAATCAGGCGAAGATGGGTGAAGACGGTGAAGGGTTTGGATCTGCAAAGCGCTTCTACAACCAAACACCGTTTCTACTCTCAGTAACGATTGTCTGTCCCTTCCGCAAAGACTTCAAAGACTCGTTTTGATTTTTTGAGAAGTGCCTTTCCAACACCAAGCAGCCCATGGTATTTATCTTGCCTGGGAGCCCCACCGCACCGACCTACGAGACGCTTCCCGCCGACCCGAGCGGAGCCTCCAGTTGGCCGAAGTGTGACTGGAAGGGTTGCAGGATCTTCATGGCACCATCCTGCACCGAGACGAGGAGGAGACCACAATGCTGAGAGTCTTTCCACAAAAAACAAATAAAACATGCAAAAAAAAAGGAGCTAAGTTCCAAGTCGTCTTGATTGATTCCAACTTTGGGAAAGCGAAACTGAAGCGTTCCAGAAGTCGAGATCGTCCAGCCTCGTCGATGCTGGCTGGCACAAAGACCAAGACATTCTGCAGCTCTGGCATCGTGCTGAAGGTCGTCCGCAGGATCTGCCAACATAGCTGACACAGAAGACACACACACACAGGTGAGCTAGAAAGGCTATCAAACTGGAACCCTATGAAGAGAGGAACACATAGAAGGTTTGGTATTCTAAGGAAGAAAACAAGAAATATGGTCTAAAGGCCTAAAATTGCCTAAAGGACAAATAACACCAACGTAAAGCAGAATAATACCGTATCCTTTTCCTTATGAAAAAGGACACCTCAAGCCTCAAGCAAAGGAAACGCATCTTATCTTCATTGAGGCATCAAGTGGCCAGGCTTTTACATCGCTAAATAGGATCACCCCCCCCGCTCAAGTGATGACTTTGGCATGTTCAAAGCGGCTTGTTGGTCCACTGATAATGAATAAACAGGCTCCCTCTTCCTTTGAAAGTGTGCCTTGTTCTGAAGCCTCATGTATGTTTCATGTGTTGCTTCCAACTTTTGGACCTTTTCCTTTTTTGAGTCTTCCGTCTTCCTTTCCTTTATCCTCACTTAGGCTACTGGATTACTCCGCGGTTTTCACCTAGAAAGGAAGCCGTCTGTGAATCTACTTTGAGCTCGATAGATACGTTTCAAACATGTCGGCACCAATGCGTCTTGCAGCATCCCTCAAGCTTTGGAGGTGTGTGTCGTCTTTGCTTCGTATGTTCACACTGAACCATTGATTGATCTTACGACTCAAGGTTCGTTGCTTGCTGTGTTTTCTCCATCCCACTTCATCTGAGCCTCTGCCATGATGGTATTGTCCCCTTCCATCAGACAGGTCGAGAACCTCATGACATCTTGCTGGAGCTTCCATCAGAGGTTCGACATGTCACAACATCCTTCAAGACATCGTCATCTTCAACTTGGAACACTCTCAACCCATGAGAAGGCGTATCCAATTGAGCAAGTGAGAGAACAATTGAGTCGACAAGTCAACTTCTGAGATTCCAGGATTTCCAAGATGTTACCTGTGGACATCTCGTCCCTCAGCCCTGGACCACAAGGAGTTGGTGCTATCAATCTGTAGATTTTGAAAAGTCTCCTGTCGCGATCAAGTCCGAATGTATGCTTGAAGCAAATTACAAGGAAACCACATGGGACGGATGAGAAGTTGTTAAGTTTCCCCAAAAATCTAGGAACCTATCCTGCATCCAGTAGGTAGTAGCTTAAGTGTAGCTTCTTCCTTATCTAATTAAGTAGCGCCTACTTAATTAAGTAGGAGCGGACTTCAAAAGAACATGTCTGTTGCTTCATCCCTTTCTGTACATCCCGGGGCTCCTGAAACCACTCCTCCCAGTCGGTGCCCGCATCTTCCGTGGCGCTCAATTGGAGCGGAGTGTCCTGAGCCAAAAGAGCCAAAGTCCGAGAGAGGTCCATCCCAGAGTCGAGAAGAACGAATATACCGACCGTTGAACTTTGTTTGTTTGTTCGTTCGTTTGTTTTCTAAGAACACAATAACATATCACAACACCAACAACAAATACAGAATGGACCTGGGACCTTCTGTGTGATCTGGACTGGATCTTTTCTTTTGGCATGGTTGATTGAAGCTTCAAGAAAACTTCAGACTTTTGCTCAACAGCCAATAACCACCGTGCCCAAATGTGAATGGCAAAAGGGACCAAACGAACCAATACAAAGAATGGTTGTGCCATGTTGTTGCCAGACATTTGCTTTGCACCTGCAAGAACCGCTGGAAAGTATGGGGTTTCCAAGGTGGGTCAATGCCCGAGTTCCATGGCCGATGTTTCTCTGAGCTTCCCGACATCTAAGACTGCAAAGCCCACCACGTGGCCTTCCTCGTCCTCCACGGTGACCGACATGAAGGAGGTCCTTTTTCACGAGCGCGTTTTTCTTTCTTGGGCCAAACGAACAGTACGCTGGAGAGTCGTCTCAAACTTCTTAAACAAGCGACCCACATCGCGACAGATCGTCTAAGGTCCCAAATTGACGGCGATCAGCTATCACATGCTATCACAACTTTCCCCAGCATTGTCTAGCTCGCATGAAGGGAACTTCTGACCTCTCCCTCTGAGCTCCATGCTCGATCATCGAGAGGAGGAACTTCGTTCTGAGCTCCAGCCTCTGAAGAATACCTGCAGGACGATCTGAGACCATTTCCATCTGGACAGGATTGGACCAAACACGGAAGCTACTAGGAACAAGTGCATCGCTACTAGTAACAAGTGCCTTACTAGTAGTAACAAGAAGCTATTAGAAACAATAAGCTAGTGGAACCCAGCGAGAAGTGTCGGAGAGCGTCCAAGCACCGGTGCCATAGTCCACCTGAACGCTTCGGTCCAGCCTCGATCCACGGCATGGAAGTAGGCCATGGTTTCCATGTAGCCCTCATCCGGATAGATGCGCTCGAACCTGAATCCCAGAGTTAGACAGACTTGTCAAAGCCTCAAGAGGTCAAGGTCGAGGTTCTCTTAGCTCCCAATGGCCCCCAACCTATTAGCAATGGCCTCCAACCTGAGAGCGATGGCCTCCAACCTACCAGCAATGGCCTCCAACAAATGCAGGTTTGGCCGCTCTTTCTGTGATGCTGTGCTTCCTGAGTCTGTGGCAACGCATTGAGGGTGTCGATGTCGTCGGGGTCAGCCCTCCTTGTGATGCAACAGAGTGTGACCCCAAAGTTTTCAATGACATGGGATGGAATGGGATCTAGAGAGGGTTCAGTCTTGCTACGGGGATGTTGTAGGCAAGCAATATCTCCAGCATTCTCCATCACTTGCAATATGCCTTCTGCATCCTCCTGTATGTCTCTTGCAGCGATACAAACGGCAGGCTCCTTACGAAGAATCCGGGCTCCGTTGCCATCTGCTTTTCATGCGGCCACGGCACTATTGAGGCCCCTTCCGTTTTGAAGCTGTCTGAGTGCTGCGATCAAGGAATCAACCTCAATCTCATCTTCCACAAACGCTCTCAGTTGAGCGGCATTTGTTTTCCAGACTGTTCCCTGTGCCCGCCTTCCAAAGACCAGCTTCGGGTCCAACCCTCTTTCTCCAGAGAAGCTCCGGCACCAACTTCTAACTATTTGCCCATTTTGGGCATATTGAGCCCTTGATTCCAAGTGCATCCCCGAAGAGCCAGTTGAGCCAGTTTTCTCGTTCCTTCAAGTGAGTGGCTTGATTCAAGCAGGTGGAAGGATGGGCCAGGGCCAGGGTGGTCTTGCACTCTATCCACTGTACCCTCCAAGATCGCCTTAACTGGCGAAACTCACTTTGAACGACTGGCCACGCCTCGACCTCCTAGTATGATGGAAGGAACCTAAAATTGTTTTTGATTGAGCACCATGTGGAATTTTCAACAGAAGTCAGATTCCAAAGTCCGTCATCTCTCGAACTCAACACATGCTCTCCGGGATGGCCATGATGGAACCTTGGGCTCAAATTGAGCTCTAAGATATGTTGAATCTAATTAGGCCTGACGATTTCGCCAGCCCAAAAAGGAGCTTCCTACCATGGAAGCTGATCAGTTCTTCCTCCACAAGTTTGTGCCATGTGAGGAGATGTGTTGTGATCAGTTTCCACCGACAATCACTGTACAAAGATCCCTTCACGCACCTGAGGTGGAAGTCAGCATCTGCAGCATGACCAATAGAAGCACGTTTGTTGTTCCAACGTGTTCCACCACAAAAAGGACTCCAAGATACTCCAAGCAAAAGCCGCAGCTTCGGAGTTTCAAGCCGTTTTGAGGGTTCGTCCCCTCACAGCTGGGGCCTCAGTGCTCTTTCGTCATCCAGCGTGCCTGACCAAAGCAGAACGGGCCAGTGTGGCAATCTGGGAAAATTCTGTGTGGGTCTTGTGGGCCAACTGCAAGCGGTTAAACTTCAATTGGGGAGTTGGATTCAACGTGCTTGTCACTTGAAGACACTCTCACCATCCAGATCCGAAAAACATCTTGCTATCAGCCACCTTTCTTGTGAGGGTCCATTTCCAAAGGCCCTCAGTAACACGTCTTCAAGAACACTCAAGGCCCCCCCAAATATCGTTCTCTAACCTTCGAAGCAAGGCACAAAGCAAAGCCCTCTAATTTTTGGCAGGCCTAAGATGGCCTTTCATTCCCCATGAGGTCCTCGCAACAAGGAAACGATGGCCATCGATGGCCTGTGGCTCGCACTCTGGCACCAGTGGCCTGGCGCTGCTTGAGCCCTTCTGGTCTCGGGTAAGCCGTCTTCCGTCTTCCTAAAGCCGTCTGCTCACTTGCCGAGTTTTTTGCCCTTGTACTATCCCTTGTAGCGCTTGTAGCAGGCATCAAGACTACTTGAGACATCTTGAACTCTGAGAGCCTCACTCTTCTTATAGTACTTCAATAGCGCCTATCATATCTGTCACCTGGTCTGTTGGTCTCGCTGTCCTTGCCTCGCTCGTTCTCACCGGCCATGCCGTCGGGGCGCAAAGGCGCTCTTCCTCGTAGAATGAGTTAATAAACAGAATGAACTATAGGGAATGCATCCAAACAAGACTCTTACCCCTTCTACGAGTTTCATCATGTTTCTACTTGTTTTTTTTTCGAGTCTCCCTTTTTGCCATCGGGCTCATCTTGAGCCGGTTGATGGAACCGGTCTTCCCCAATTCTTGGGTATCCCAGGATCGAAGTGGTTCGCTCATCACGGTCCCCTCTTAGTGTATCGCACCTCTGGGCCTTTGCGATCCTTGAACGAGAACAATGAACCCAATGACTTGCGCTATGTGCCATGATACACATATGAAACCACTAACACATCCTCTCAAAAACCACCCCTGAGACTGGTACGGGCGGCTGGGTGGCATCACGGTACCTCCTGCAGGCTCCGGAGTCTAATTAAACCACTTGCAGGAAGATGAAGGAGCCCAGGCTTCCCGCAAAGCACCGCGACGTGATGCTTTTGACTTCAACGAACATGTCCAAGACCTTGTTGATTTCTCATCTGCCGAGAACATGGCCACGCACATTGCGACCCTTTTGGGCGAAAGCGGCGAAGCCATGCGCGGAGACATTTGCTCCTGTGGTTGGGTCGTGGAATGGAAAATTCAGATCGAATCCAGTCCAAATCGTTTTTTGGATTCGACCTGCGACACCAATGAAGACATCTTAAAAGTGGAAGAAACGGAGGTCCCTTCCTGATTTACATGCTCAATCCAAAGGCTCCACACTCACCAAGCATGACACATAAAGACACATCATATGAGTTGATGGTCTCAAGACATAGAGTTTACAGTTTCGCATCTTCCAATGGAGGGTCCAACCACTCCATGGGAACATCACCTTTGGAAGCTTCCTCGGCGCTTCCGCTCGGCCGCATCAGGCCTTCTTGCTCGCCGGCATGGAGGCCTTGATCAACGCGACGAGGCCCTGGAGTCGTTGCGACACGCTGCCGTAGAGGAGCAGATTCAACCCTTTGCCTCGGGTCTCGTGCGGGATCGCTGTGCAGGGTGCTCGGTATTAAGCGGGATTGACGTGATATGGAAGATGTGTCAGCAAATTGGAAACCGGTCTAATAAACAGAGCGGCAGCTACTGGCTACTTGCGTGATGCTAGTTGTATACACTTGTGCTTGTAGAATTAAACATGACATGTTGCGTCTACAAATGCTACAGTTTGCCACGTCCAACGTCAGCTGCCCAGGCACAAAAGAGCTCTCCCTGGCCATTGGCCGGATAGGCGATGGCCGGCGGGATGGTGGGCCTGGAAGGAAAGGTCGCCAATGGGTTCTGAGGATCGTGTTGGTGAACCAGATTTGATGATTGCTGTCAGAAAAAACACTAACTCCTCTTCTTCGTTGATGCCTCCTACTTGAAACAGTTAAAATGTGAACCAAACAATGGCAGAATCAGCTCCCCATGGCCGCAGCTTACAA